GCTCTTCAAACACCTCTCTCCTTCCCAAGCCTCCTGCTCCAGGCAGGGCTACTGCTTGACTCCAGGGTCTTGGGCAAGTCATGTCTCATCACCTGAAGACTGCTTTCCCCACTCGCTTCCCTCTGCTGAGCAACCCTTATGAGGCTGTGTCTAGAGGAAAAATGCCTCAGGTTTGCAGCTGTACTGTTGCTGCCTTAGAACAAGCTCTCATCACCCAAAGCCTCACCGCTTTGGTCCACCCACACCAAGCTATCTGCCTGCATGCAGGATGTAGAGAAAGCCCTGCTGGCCCCACCTGTAGCACCAAGAACACTGTCCAGCACAGGAGACAAGCCCAGAGAGCAGCACTGGGACTTGGGGGGGAACAGGCGTGTTCTGCTCCCTTGGACGCGCATGCCTGGAGGGAGAGCAGGGCAGCATCCCCAGCGCTTGTCAGGGCATCTGCGTCGGAGACCTGAGTGCGCCCTGTTCTGCCCCCCCGACCTTCCTTCTCACCGAGTTGGGGGTCAGTGGTGCTCCTACTACATCAATGATCTGGTCCTTGGTATCTCCCTTGCCCTCCTCGATGCCGAGCCCTGTCTGGCCATCTGGATGGGCACCTTCCACGCTGAGGGGGCCGATGCTCCCAGCTTTGGCCAGGGCCTCGTAGCGGTGCCGTAACATCTGCAGCTCATACTCGCAGTTGGCAAAGGCTTGTTTCAGCTCGTACAGCAGCACCAGGTCACTCCGCAGCTCGTTGAACATCTGCACAATCTCCTCTGTGGGCATAGGGTTGAGATCTAGGGAGAAAAACACCCTCTGTTAAACACCCAGACCTACAACCCTATAAAATGAAAAATCCCTATAAATGTTTTGGCTGCTCTTTCATTCCCAAAAAGATACACCAGAAGCCTCACTCTAATCACATGGATCAATATCAACTGGTATCCCTAAGGGCTGGGCTGTCTTTTGGTTCTGGCCAATGACTAAGGGTGAACCTTCAAAGTCCAGCACTCAGCAAGTGAAGGATGAAGGAAAAACCAGATGATTGAACCTTGCCACCCACAAGGTCACATATGAAGGGAGCTCTGTCTTACAGAGAGACTGGATCCACCTTGCTGCAAAGGGCAGAAGAGCTCCTGCTGTTCCCTACACTTTCACCAAAAGAGGGTGGACAGGCTGAGCTCCATTGCTTCTTATTGCTCCTCCCTGGGCAGGTCCAAGGCAGAGAACTGCTCTGCTGCTGTGCTACAGACCTGTTTGTAGCAGCAACTATCAAATCACCTCCCCACACCTTGCATTCTGCTGCACCCCACCATGCACACATAGAGAAGTGGGCCCCATCTGCAGGGCTGCCCACATGACCCCTTTCCTGCTGGCAGGGTGTTCACCCCCACAAAGCCCAGGTGTGGTTCTGCACTCTAAAGTACAACAGGGCTGGAGCCCCAAGAGACCCCCAAGGTATGTGTGTTCTTTGAGGCAGGAACCTCTCCTTACCCTCATGGAAAGCGAGCTCCAAGAAACACTCACATGTTTCCCCCAGGCTTCCCTAATAAGCACAAATAGCAGCTCCCTCAATTCTACAGCCGAAACAGGAAACCATCCTGGCTGAGCCACTTTCACCAGCCACGGTAGGTCTTCAGAATGGCACAGTTTCCGAGACAACATAGCGAGCCATAAACCAGCTGGCCCAAAAAACTAACAAGACTTAACAGAAGTCAGTGCTGGGAACAGGCTCAGTAACCTCTTGTAAATCATTAATAAGGCTTCTATTTTTCTCTTTTCCTACCTTTAAATATCTCTCCAGCCACCGTGCGGGAGAAAGGGATCATCAGGTGTCTAATCAAGAGACACTGCATGCTGGGACCTGTAATACCTGTAAACTGTCCCCACTGCATGGAGAGCAGCCGCTGGCCATGGGCTGCACTTCTCCCCCTCTAGCCATGAGCAGGTATTGTACATGTTAAGTGAACCCTTCTTTCAGCTACTAAGACACTCGAGTTCAAGAGTGAGGGATGTGTGTTTACTCGCCTTTCAGCAGAGATGCTCCAGATTTTCACACAGCATGCAACCTATAAAGGGGGGATGAACAGTCCCAGATGCATTTTGGACTTGCCACCGTGAGCAGTAAATTAAGAGGAAATGAGGCTTAAAAGCAAGACAGGGCAGCCCTGAACAATGCGCGTGCCGTGGTCACTAACACACTTAGAAGTACCTCTCCCGGCAAGGCTGAGATTTGCCTTCCTAATACTGCGCTGCCTCTCTTGATGGTTAAAAAGGCCCAAACAAGAGAGAAACAAAGGCTCTTTTAAAAGATTTTTCTACTGGGAGGAAAAAAAAAAAGCCCTGTGCATCTTGTTCTGGCTTTTACCCTCTCTTTTTTTTTTTTAAACACATAAAATATTTTAAAAACCATTCACATACTGTTATTCAAGAAACTGGCTGTATTACTAGGGGAAAAAATAGCCCATCTCGAGAACAAAGGCTAGCTCTGTGTGTCTCTTTCTCTCTCGCGTGCCCCCTTTACTCACCTACTCCGAGTTCCATCAGCATCTGCTCCAGGGCTTTAATCTTCTTCTGTCCCACCGAGCTTGGCAGTTTCATCTGGAACACAAAGGTAACAGAGCCACACAGCTCAGAGATAGCCCTCACTCACAGCCGTCTAGTTCAAAAGGCAAGAGAGCTTTTCTTTTTATAGTGCAGGGGGAACAAAAAAAGAAAGGGAGAGAAAGGAAAATCAAGTGGTAAGAGAGGGAGACAGGGGCTGAAAGTTTTCAGACTAGGTCCGAGGGCAGGTATTGAAAAGCCCGGTCGTGAGGGCTTTTATTTTCTCTCTCGTGTGTGTGCAAGACACGCTGTTTTACAGTTTCCATGTGTCACTGAATTAACAACAAAAGTTCTTCTTGGCTTCAAACCCTCTCCCGCGGTGCCCAGCCCATCAAAGGGCTCATTTACACAGCGGCTAATGTGCAATGCTGCCCTACTTTATTCGCTTTAGCCGGCCTGATTAGACTCATGCGCTAACAGACTCACTTCTCCTTTTACCTGCTGAGCCCCAGACCTGTGGGATTCATTTACAGAGCAGGCTTTGTAACAAAGGGGAGAGACAGAGAGAGCACAGTTACTTGACTGGCGGAAGTGTGCACACACATTTACATCGGAGCTAAGGGGCTAGGTGAGAGAGGAAGCATCAGATGTGAGCTATGAAAGGGAATTGAAGCTGGCCAGGAGAGGAAGAATGCACACACTTAGCAGGGTCCTTCCTCTGCATTCATTTGGGCTCTAGCAGGAGTGCTAGCTGCTCAGACCAAGCATTTATTAGATTATCAGCAGCACAAACGCAGCTGGCACAATATGGCAGGGAGAACAGGTTTCCAAGCCCTGCGGATATACCCAAGAAAAAATGAAAGCACTCAGCTATGCTAGAAAACACACCAGGAAAGAAAGGGCTCTCAACACTGCATTGTCAAACATCCTTCTGCACAGGCACAGGCTGCCCCCCTCTGTATCCAGCCCTGGAAAGGTGACCTCACACCTCAACCTGGGGATCCCATTCAGCAACCCAAGTTGCCCAGCAGGCAAGAGCATCCTGCAGGCATCCTGCACACGCTGCTTACTGACCAGGGGCCCAAACCTCAGCCAAACCAACCATGAGTCTGCAACGTGGCTGGGAATGACCTGAAGGAAGAAACATTATTCACTCCACCTTAAAACTGGCCTCTCAGGGAGAACACACTGGGAGGGCCTGTGGTCACCTTACTTCCCATAAGCCACAGGCTAAAGCTGCCCAAAGCAGGCAGCTCAACATCAATCTCCCAGATTAGACCCATTGCTTCCAGTGTTTGCTGCCCCAACACAAAAATGCCAAGAGGCTCCATCTGGAACTTCCTAATTCCTCTGAATGCCGGAGCAGTGCATGCATGCACACATCCCCAAATGCTGAGAGTTCTAACCTTAACTCAGCTATGGCTATGTCCATATCATATCCATATCAGCTGCTCCACAACACCAGTGTAGGACCTGTGGGAAATCCTGCCTTCTCCATGACATCACTTCAGCCAAGAAACCAGAGTATGGATGCCATAGAGCACCCCAGGGGAATGGGCCTTTCACAGTACATGCTGGGAAGCACCAAGTTCTTTTTGACAGATATTAACACGACAAGAAAGGCTCCAGCAAAGGACCAATACGACTATCAGGGGAGGATTTCTAAGAAACCAGCCTGACCCAGAGAATCCAACAGGACCACTAGAGAAAAGAAACAAAACCACACCTTCATGCAAACACTTAGCACAGGTAAGGACCATGGGATGCCTCTGCCTTTTTGTTTTTTACCCCAAAGGTCTTTGGCTTAGTGCTGGGGTTTCTGCACAGCAGTCAATTTCATACTTCTTTCCTACTACTAAAGAAACCAATTCTTTGCAGTTCACCACAGAATGATAGTTTTAGCAGAAGAAAGACTGTCAAAGTTATCATGTATTTGGATTTCAGTCAAGTCTTCAGGCCAGAGTCTCAACTTGAGCAGAACCCCACTAAAACAGGTTTTCCGAGGAACTCTGCTGCACAGACAACCTGCACAGGCTCTGCTGAAAAGGACAGGGCAGAGCCCTAAGATAAGTCAGCCCAGCCCTGGGACAGGAGATGGATGCCTTGCTGCAGCTAGCAGCCAGATGCCAAGGAAGGAAAGGTCACTTTGCACAGCTTAGCAGAAAACTGAGTAGTCAAGTCTAGAATATCAGGAAGACATCCCTGAAAGCAAGAAGATTCAGCCCAAAGAATTGCTCTGTGCCACAAAGAATCATACAGAACATCTAAATGGGTGAAATACTCAGCTCTGCCTCAGCTTCGGGATATAGGGGCTGATCTAGTCAGGAGGTACTGCCCTTAACTGGGGTTTAAGGATTAACAATGAGCCCAGCATCTGCCCACTGAAGAGCTCGTGGACACACAATAGTTGTGTGACATCACAGCCCTGAGAGTCTGTCTTCACCCCTGCCCCAACAGCAGACACTGGAGCCTTCTTAGCCAAAGGCAAGATTCCCTTCTGTTAATTTCCCGTCTGGCAAAAGCACGCTGGGCACCAAGCCAGCTTCAGGAACAAAGGACAAGAAGAGTTCACCTTTGGCTAGGCTAGCTATACAGACAGGAGGTCTTGGTTTGTTGGTTAAAGGAAGAGACCAAGCTTTCCATCTGGGAGGCCTCCACTAGCTCAAATACCTACTGGTAATGCAAACAACGTGGCAAAGCCTTCAACTGTGATGTTAAGCACATTTGGATCATGTCCCACAGGAGTCTGGTCTTCACTGACACTCTTGAAGATTAGAGGCTGGAGCAGGGAGAGGCAGGACAAATTAATTTAACTTCAAAGAAAGGAACACTAGAGGTGCTGAGGAAGAGTGGGACTGTGAGTTTAGTTTAAAACCACATCAATTAAGCTTCTTTTTAATTCAGGCAGGAGGATCTGGCCTGCAAACAGGAAGGCTTCATTGGTTTCTCAAAGCAAGAGTATATTTTAATTTTACCATCATTAAGAAAATGTTATGATTTATGTGGCTGCTGTCGGACTAATATCTTTAGAATTTAGCTGGCTAAGCCAATTCATCTCTAAGACTGATGAAGGCTGATTGCTCTCTATGCAAAATGTATTAAAACTAAATGAGCAGTCTATTACTCAAATGCTGCTGATAATCTGTTAGCCAAGGTCCGTTAGTTGGGCTGCCTTGTTGCAAGAGAGAAGTCTTCATGCTCTATACAGCTCTGATAAGACCAAGCTTACCTCAGGAAGCCCTTCTTTGTTTTGGTCTTTCAGTCAGATATCCAGAAAAGCAGCACAGTGCTGGAAGTGCTGCTCACTTACCCCTCATTCCCAAAGAATGAGGCAATCTGCAGGGGCCACAAGTCCCAGCCAGTAGCCCAAAGAAGAGCTCTCTGGCTCATGATGTCTGCAGTGGGATATGTGGTTTCTGCAGGCCATATCTCTGCATTAATGAGAACACCCCTTCAGGCAAGCTTACTGCTGACACCACAGCTCCTGGGATGTTCTTGGTGTTGTCATGGATGGAGGCCTCCACAGGGGCCGAAGAAAATTATGTTCCTCAGAGAACTCCAGTGAGCAACCACAGCTTCCGAGGTGAATGGCATTTGCCCTTTTCTTTCCTTCCTCATAGTAGACTATTATTGTTATTTATTATCTTTAAAGTCCCCATATAATAATAATACCTGGGAAACAGATTGCTCCCGTCAGAAAACTGATTAGCTGGGGTTTTTGAGGTTACTATATTTTGGATGCTCTTCTCCTCTGACAGCCTCTCCCTACAGCCCTCTTCGCAACACCAGCCTGTGCTTATAATTACACCAACATCACTTTTGATTTAAGGACTGTAATCCTTTGTCCTCGCTATAAACAACCTGCATTAAACACATGAACTGCGTGTACCAAGAGAAAAATAAAGAGCTACAGAAAATTGTGAGTCAACACCACAAAGCCACAGTACCAGAGCCTGCCTATGCAGAGAGAAGCCTGGGATACATAGGCTCTGCTGGAATGCACTAGGTCTGGAAGGAATGGAATACAGGGCACTGACCTGCTCTGTTTCCCCCTGAAGGAGGAGGACGTTGCTCCAGAGTTGAGTTGTGCAGTTCAAAAAGAACAGAACAGAGCTCCCACAACACCTTCACAGCAAGGGCTGGGACTGAGGTGGACCCTCTGCAGTTCAATTTTTGTACAGGATCTCACCATGAAGTACCCTTGAGGTTTTGCATGATACAGGGTTTTTATTTAATGTTCGAGGCATTCTGCCAACAAAACCTTGCTAATTCACACTAATGACTAGGGGACCTACTGCAAATTAATTGCTAATTGGCAAAATTCATTAAATGAACAAACAGGGTAAGAAATAACTGAAGATATAGCCTCCCCAAACAGACTCAGTTCATTTATTTTTGTGTGCCATTCGGTTTTCATGATTTATGCTAATACTTTTAAGCATAGTTGTAAATGTATTTGAATCTATTTTAGTAGAGTAATGAAGTCTAAGTAATAGCAGAGCTTGCAACACAGTTCTGTTATGTCTCACAGCATCACCACCTGGCAGGTAGAGACTGTCATGGGGATCTGCACTAGGAATGGAAGAGGTCTATAGCATCTACAGATTCTCACGGCCCTTGAGTAATTGTGTGGGTGTGGTCATCTTAAAGGTCCCGCTCTCAATTCATCACTTTCTTCATAAATGCTCCTTTTCTGATGCTCCAAACTTCCCACTCCTCCCCAAAAAATCTTCTTTTGTGCTGAAGCCTTTTGTTTGGTCTGTTACCAAAATACAAGGTTTTTTAATTAATCAGTGGTTATTTGAATATTTCATGTATGTGGTGATGCCACACTTCATTTTTATTCAATTTTAAGGTAAGCTTCTCCTTAAAATCAGCCTTCCCCAACCCTAAACAACGTAACTGTCCTAAAAACATTCATCCTAAAATCTCCACACATCTGACCTGTGTCTGTACAGCTGTAAACTGTGGTTTTATGCACCAGCACCAGTATTGTTCAGCATTATTATATAGCTCACTGACATTGAAAACCACCTTCCTTGTAGATTTCAGCAGCAAGAAAACTTTCTCATTAGGCACTTTCTTCTTGGAGATCTTTAGAGTACTGAATAGTTTAGTGGATTTCCAGGAAAGAGCGCTGAAGTTTCAGATGAATAATGTTTTCTGCATTTTCTGCCTGAAGGTCAAACATTCCTGGGCTGCATGGCTTTACTCTGCAGGAGCAGAGAGCCTCCACTCCTATACAATTTTAACACTCAACAAAGGGAAGAACCATATCAAGTACTTAAGTCTTAGAGTTCTAGAATCTGAAAAACCTCAGCTGAAAAATTCAGTTTAAGATATGAACTTGCACATTTCTGAAATTCTGAAGTGCTTCACTGCATGGAACTGAAGTGCTGCGGTGGAAGGTGGACAGGCAAGTGCAATGAATATATGCAAAAAGTAGAAAAGGGTGAAATTGCACAGCTATTCTCTGTCTCAATGAACATATATGCTTCTCTCTGCCCCAACTTATAGCTATGGACTCTGTCTTCTGTCTATGCCTGCTGATCTGCCACAGTAAGATTTTGCACAGGTCAAAATAAGGAGTAATACCACTATGCCATCTCTCCTATGTTCTGTTGCACATTAAACACACAGCCATCTCTCTGGAGCAGTACATGACCATCAACTTGCTCCATCAGTGAGGCTTAATGACAAATAAACAAATCTTTTAAAAAGAAAACATTTCTAAAGTAACTTATGTAAATGTCTATTTAAGGGGTTTTTGGGCTGTGGCTAGACATACCTCAGAAATTCCCAAATCAGTTGTGCAAAACTGTAAAATTTATACTTGTATCCTCCTTGTAAATTAAACCAGTTTTACAGGAATATACCTAGTGAAGGCTTTGTCAAGATGAGGGAGGCCAACAGATACCAGAGAAGCACAACACACCTAGGCATATATGGCAGAGAAGCAGCTCACTGATCCTGTAAGCATTAACGCCTCATTATTCACCTGTAGCACTGACTCAAAGGGTAAAGCTAAGATTCCCTGAAGGAACCAAAGTCCTGGGGCATCAATGTCACAGCATGAAGGGTTTTCACCAGTGCAGGCAAAAGGGTCTTCAAGGCTTTTATACTCTCCCACCCTTTCTCCCCAGAAAGAGGATACAGACTGCTTTGAAACGGCACAAGTGGCCTAATATTAGGGCTACTTGGAATCTACATAATGATGGCTGAGAACCTGGAAAGCAACAGCTTTCTCCCCATTTGACACACAGGCTATGACCAGAAACAAGACACCTGAGAAAAAAAGAGGAACTCACACTTTGCTAAGATTTCCTGCCATTTTGAAGATGGACATTCTCTGGCAAGCGAAGTATCATTGGCCACTTACCAATCCTGAGATTCCTTGTCCTTAAATACCTTTTGCTTTCAAAATAGTGCAAGCCTATAAAACAATTGCAAAAGGACTACAGAAAGTGTTTCTGTAGGAAAAAAATAAAAAATACATGGTGCAGAAGAAAAAACTGCACAGGACATTTTTACTGGGGGTATTTTATGCTAAAAGCACATTACCAGAATGACACTACAGTAGTTTGCTTTAAGCAGATCTGCAGATTCCCAGATAGTCCTGCCCCTGTCTCTCACTACAGGCATGGAGACCAAGATGAGACCTATAGAGGTGGCTGCAGAAAATGGAAATGGCTGCACCCTCTGAGCTGCATCTGACAAACAAATCAAGAACTCAGCAATGTATGCTGTGATTACAGGGAGGGGGCCCTAAGGTCACAGGAGGGGGGAATTCCAAGGGCACTCTACCATGGTACAAGAATGATATGTAAACTTCCAGATCAGACATAGGAAAGTGTAGCAACACATGCATCTAGTCTTGAATTGATGTTGCTTTTCTTTTAAATAATTTAACTGAATCTCCACTTACACAAACAACCACAGTGACTAATTACAGGGCAATCATTATATTGGTTACACTAATGAAAGAAAAAAGGTTAAAGGATATATATGGAGCTCTGCACATGTTACACACAATAAAACTGGCTGATGAATGACACCTGAGACTGTGTCACTATGGGCACACAAAGGTAGTAAAAGCTTCTCAAATCCAGGACTGACAAAGCTCCCTGAGGCCACACACTGCATGGACACTGTACTGGATGATTCAACAGAAGCAGCAGCATGGAGTGTCCTTTCCAGAACTCAAATTTATTTTAAAGATCCCATTCCTGCACCCAGAATGCTTTCCTTATACCTGAGAACCTACTAAGGCTTTGGTCCAGAAGCTCTCCCACATCAATGACCTCCACAAAAAAAAGGTGATGGATTCATTTTCTTTCAGCAATTTAACATTAAGTGCCTTTTGGTTTAGCTAAAAACAAGAATGGAGGAAAAATGTGTTGGATTCACCTTCTCTAGTTCATTTAAGATTTTGTATCCTTTGCAGTTCTCTTTAAAAATAAATATACAAATATTTTCATCTTATTTCATTCTCTACGGACAGGAGTTTGATTAGGAAATGCACCAGCACTCTCTTGGCCCTAATTAAAGGGCATGTAATACAACAAATAGATGGCAATGCCACAACATGAATTCGATCCAGCCTGCATCATTTCTTCATAAGTTTTACTCACAGAAATGAGAGAACTACTTCCCTTCTACACCTCTGTCAGGCTCCCTGTGGAAATTACTCCCGGCCACTCTCTTGTAGAGTGCAAAACATACAACTTCACTAATGAAAAATTGCTAGCAGAAGCAACAAGCACATCTCAGCTAACTAATCCATGGGATGTTCAGACCTGGTAACATAAACTTTCCCCACCTAATAAGGGTTTGCTGATCTCCATGAGATTGATGTCAGAACGCCTTGGAGTGCAATCAATACAAAGCAAATAAATAATTAATTGCTTTAAGTAATTAAATTTATCAAATCCAAATAAGAATAACTGGTATTTTATGGAACTGCTTCCAAAAGCTGAACCTCTGAAGGGACAGTATTGATCACAGGAGGACAGACAGATGTGTCACATGTTCCCTGCCAATGAGGTCTGGGTTTGCATTAATGATAGGGAAGGAACAGAGCCAGCAGCCTCCAAAGCAAGGTAAACAGCCAGCATGCTTGGCCATTTAATTATTGGTTGAATCAAATATAGAAAATAAACATGTCTAAACAAATACATACAACCCCATCTTCCTCTAGAAATATCATTCACCTTGGACTTGCAGGAAGCACTTACTTCTCACTCCAAGGGAAAAAAAAAAATAGAATAACTCACACACATGTTTTCCCCACACAACCACAGTAAATTCTTATTCATTAATCAGTGCTAAAAAATGCTCAAAAGGCTACTAAATATTTAAAAGCTGGTGAGTGTGAATATTTGAATCAATTGAATCAATGAGTGCTAAAGTTCTACTTGTACTTTTCCTTCCTTCTTTCTTAATTTGTTCAACTGGCAAATTGTCTACAAGCTCCCAGTTAAGCAGATGGAGTCAGGCTGCTGGCTGGAAGCCTGTTCTGAAAGGAGGAGGCCAGCTTTGAATGACTAAGCTGGAGCATCCCTCAGTCTTTTCTGCAGACTGAGAATTCTACAAACATCTTTAAATCACAGGTTTTGGAGGTTTTTTTTCCAGATGAGACACCACTCAATCAATTATCTTCCAGTTCCTTTGCTTCTGAACCCATGACAACAGAGCAAGGACACAGACATACACCTCAACATCCACCCTTTCCCATTCATCACCCTCCTTCTTAAAATCACTGCTGAAACAATTAAACAGCATTACCAAAATTGTAAGTTAAAATCCATAGACAGGTCTGAGAGAGAAGAACAACTTAAAACACACTGCAGAGAAGTTAAGCATGCCAACGTCAAGTGCTCTGAACACAACAAAGGTTAAATTTAAGAGAATGCTGAACGTAAGATGGTACAGAAACACTGTGGCGAAATCAGGACAAACTCAGTTCTGCCTTACTGAAGCAACACCATGCCCAGATCACAAACATGTGGTTACTGTTGGTCTGTCTGGATCCTCGAAAATATCCAAGTTCAACAGCTCCCATTCTCCTTCCCTTCAGGAAGATCTGCAGCAAAGCATTCCTCCCTCATAGCTCTCTGCTTTCCCTTTAGTCTTTTCTTCACCTTCCCCTGGTCAAATTCCCTACACATCTGTTTTCCTCTGGCTCTTTGGCTGTCTAACCTCCCAACTGAGCAGAGCTGGTGTAACAGAAAGTTTTCCAGAAGTAATGCTTAGGATTAATAACACAGTTCTGATTTCATTTTCATAAGCTGTTTTACTAACATCAAATGCAAAGGTCTAAAATTCTTTTCAAGAAACTCTTGGAAGGCTCACTCCTTTCCAAACATCTACTACTGCCTCCTGTTCTCAGCAGCACCAAGGCAATACACTGTCTTGAATTAAGAGGAAGCTTTTCATAATGCCCAGCTTCCCACTGCCTCAGAAAAACTTGCAATCTGTGCTGTCAGGAGGCAGAGGGAAATCCCATGCAGAGCAAGGGCATGGGGGCTGTGGCCTTCTTTGCCTGTGGCCACAGTCCCATGGAGAACAATGGGAGACTGAGGCCAGTCTGATAGAAGGCAGCTTGTCGAAGTCACTGCAGAAGATTACTCTTCAGCGTCTGCTGAAGGAGAAACTTTCAGTTATGAAGAATAATGGCTCTAAGTGACCATTAATCCTCACAGGGAAAAAAAACCCAGTCTTCAAATTCAGCCTGTCCATAAGATCGTGTAAGCTGTAACAACAGGGGGAATTTGAAGAGCCATGGCTATTGTCATAAAAACTACTGCGAACAAATTAAGTTGAATACAGATTCCTAACTTTTTCTTCAAGGACTCATTTCTATAAATTAATTTTAACTCAGATTCCAGACTAATTGTAAATCCTCAGAAAAAAAAAAAAAGTCTCTAATCAAAGAATAAGTGCCATTATCCTGGGGATGATATGGTACATTTTTCACACATGACAGAGGTTGAGCCCTGATTTCACTGAAAAATCCAGCTTCACCTAACCACAAAGGCGTAAAGCATGGTAGCAAAGTATAAAATAAAGGAGGGCAACAGAAGCCTTTAAGTGAGGAACTCTTTAGGTCTTCAGGCAAAAAAACTTACTGCAGGACAGCACAAGCTTTAGAAATCATTTTTCAATGTGCTAAGGGCAAAACATCTTATGTTGGATGTTGCCAGAGTATGAATTTCCATTCCAGTTCCTCACTTAGCCCTAGTCAGCCTCCACCCTGATCAATTCCACATCACTGGAGTTCAGAGGGTTTGCCATATAAATCCCACAAGTAAAATAATTTGGATTAGCATGGACTGTCAACTCCATAACATCTGGCACTTCAGCACCTCTTACCAGTTCAAAAGGCCTGTACTGACCTCATGTAATTAATTCTCCCCATCATGCATCTGTGAGGCAAGTGAGTCTAATAGCTCCCATTTAAAAAACAGGGATGGCTTGGATAAGTAAGCCAGGTGACTGGCTAAAAGCCACAAATGAATTCATGTTTCTGGGTTAGAGGTAGGTTTCACAATCCAAACAGCAAAGTATTGTTTTTTCACTTAGATCAGTGATGAACCATCTTTTTAATTCACAAACTACTGGTAATTGTAAGAATAGCATTTATCTCCTTAAAAATTTCAAGAATAACATAGGAAGTTGCTCTAGGTCACTTCAGGAGCTTGGATACTGCAGCTAAAAGCTGCTGAATCAGACTGCCATGCCTCAGTTTAGCACTGCATCTTGTGAGCATTAAAAGGAACAGATAAAAGCATGTAGCACCCATTTTCATGAAGGCTGGGATTTGGATTGTCTGTTTGGCACACAAAGAGGCTGCTGGCTTTGCCAGATGGTTCCATCACTGATATGTTATTGCTCAGCTTCTCTTCCAGAGGGGGTAGAAAAAATAGAAAAGATCAACCATTACTTATTAGTTTTCAAAATCCAAATCAATCTCCATAAATTATCTATTTATCTTAGTGTTGGAGAACACATGTGCCACATCTCAATAAATCTCAACACTTGCACTGCAGTCCTGCTTCTCTCTGGAGTGGGATTTCCTCAAGGCTGTAGCCCCTCACTCAAACAGGTATCCTGCAGATGGTGGCACTGGTACACTGAAGGAGCCCCTCAGCAGTGACCCTGCTGAGGCATCCCACCTCTAACACACACATGCTTCAGTACATCAAAGCAGCATTATCCTTAACACATTTCTGTTAACAGCCAGCAAGATCTGAAACCATCCTGATATCAAAAGAACATTCCATAAAAACAGCCTTTCAAATTTACTATGCCAAGTGAGGATGCGAGGGCAAGGTATGTACTTATCTGATTTTGCTATAATAAAGCAATTAAAAGTTGCTTTAAGGATAGTTTTTTTTTTTGCTAGGAAAAAAAGCAGAAAAGTACTTGTATGTGCACACAGGATTTTGCTATCAAAACTTCTCTGAAAATATTCAGCTGACCAAACAGATCTAAGTTACTTGGTGTCCCAAAACCTGTGGCTAAGAGGCAGGTGTGAAGTCTTGCTGATATAAGAAAGCAATACAAAAACAGCAAGAAAGTTCTTTACTCAGAAGTACCTCTGCAACAGCCTGAACACAGGGGCTTTTCCAAAAAATATCTCCTAAGATAATGTATACAGAAAAGTTAAAAATTCTATGTATTTATGTGTTTCTGGTTTTTTCAAGACACAACCTGAGCTCCAGGTTAATCCAGCTCTTAATCATCTTATCTGGATGATTTTTAAGGTCCTTTCCAGCCCAAATGACTCCAAAAGAACCTCTCA